ATTTACTCCGTTCCAGCTGCAGGGCAGGGTGGAGACATCCCCCAGAGCAAACCCAGGGGCTTCTGCTTGCCCTGCAGAGGAGGAGGTGGGTTGGGTGCATGTCAGAGGTGACAGGTGTCCTTCCTAAACGAAGAGCAAGAATTATTGAGATGGCTTTTAAAGATACATCCAAGCTCAGCAGTGAACAAATGATTAAAAAAAAAAAAAAAACCCAGAGCATTTCAGAGATCCAAGTGAAGGAATGGTTGTGCTGGAGGACAGAGGGCTGCTCAGCCACTGCCCTCACTCTGGCTGCCCTGGTGAAGGGGAGTGGTAGGTTTAAAGCTGGTGCTGAGGGCTGAGCCCTCCCCTGAGCTGCACAAAGGCTGTTTACCTGCCAGCCCTGCCATAGCAGCAGGCTCTTGGTAACCCTTGTGCAGCAGCAGAGACCTCTTGGGAAGCTGCTCAGGTTCAGAGCCCTGCGTGGAATGCAGTCCAAGGCACCAGCATCAGACACTCCCCAGGGTTAAGCCCCTCTCCAAGTGCACTTATTTAAGATGGGTTGAAAATAGAAACCTGAGGATCTCCCACAGAGAAACCTGCTGTTTCATGTCCCTGTTCATTTGCCGTTGTGCCTGAGCACGCCAAGGTGCAGTTTGATCCTCTTGCCTTCCCAGCTGGGTGACTCCACAGTGGGCAGCTGGGATCCAGCTGCTCTTGGAAGGGTGCAGGTCACCACGAGGCAGCTCTCTGCAGGTCTGTGCCAAGGGCAGCTCTGTTGACAGCTCAGCATGGGGCTGTGTCTGCACAGACTCTGCCTCAGGGGGGTTTAATAACACACAGGAGGGCTGGTGTGGTGCTGGATATTGTCGATCTGATTTCTCTTCCCTTTTTGGCTGCTCATCCAAACTGTATGAGTGCAACACAGCCTTTAGGAAAACATATTCTGGACTGGACAAAATTTGGGAGGAAAAGGCGTGTTGGGAATGGCTGCAGGCAAGCCCTCAGCTCTGCCCAGGGCGGGTCTGTCTGTCCATCCAGCCCTGCTTCCTCCCCGGGGAAGGCGCAGAGCCTGACCCCAGGCTGGGTCCCCGTCCAGTGCCCAAATCGGTGCCCAGATCAGTGCCCAGATCCCCCGCGGGCTGGACAGGGGGGCGGCTCTGTCTTCCAGAGGGCACATCCCTTGGGATGTGAGGATGCGGGAGAGCGCGGGGAGCAGCTCAGGAGGGCAGAGCCGGGAGGTCGGTGTGGCGCTGCCCCATCTCCGTGTCCCCTCCGTTCCGTCCCCAGCCTGCCTGGCCACGCTGTCCCTGGAGGGCTCCGGCCCGCTGGCCTCGCTGGCCGCCTGTGACAGCTCCACGCTGCTCTGTGCCAGCGCCAACTCCGGCATCCACGTGCTGCGGGTGGGCAGCGGCGCCGAGCCGGCCCTGCGGGAGCTGGCGGCGTTCTGAGCCACCACCCCTGCCACTCGCTGTACCAGAGGGGATGGGACCCCCCCAGAGCCCCCCGGCCGCGGGCACCAGGACCCTGTGCCTGAGCAGCGAGGCTTTGTGGGGAGCTGTCCAGGGGAAAAGCCAAACCCGGGATGCCCCCAGGCGTTTTCCTTACAAACCCTCCCTGCCGCGGGATGGGGCAGAGGGAGCAGACAAGCTGTGAGGAGCCACAATGGAGCACTTTAGCTGGTGTCCAGGCTTGGACCAGAGGAGCCTGTGATTAAATATTCTTCTGTGTTACTTGCTGGCCTCTCGTCCCGTGGTATTTTCCCAGGGAGGCACCAAGAGCTGGCCCTGTGGTGCTTGAAGGGAGGAGAAAGCCCTCTCAACACCCTCAACACTCTGCTTGAAGGAAAGTAACTTAGGAGGGGGGTTGGGGTTTGGTTTTTCTCTTAACACACCAATCTTCAACTGCACTGAGAGTGTCGGGTGTGCTCACCTTTCTAGGGAACATGGACAGCTCTCCAACTGAAAACAGGGAGAGGAATCATCTCTTTTCTCTTGAAGGTTTTCACAGAATCACAGAATAACCTGAGCTGGAGGGACCCACCAGGACCATCCAGTCCAACCCCTGGCCCTGCACAGACACCCCAACAATCCCACCCTGTCCCTCAGAGCGTTGTCCAAACCCTCCTGGAGCTCTGGCAGCCTTGGGGCTGTGCCCACTGCCCTGGGGAGCCTGTTCAGTGCCAACCACCCTCTGGGGGAAGAACCTTTCCCTGAGATCCACCCTGAGCCTG